ATGATAATAAAAGTAATCATACAGTGTGGCCCTGTTACTGGATGAAGTAATTCAAAAACACATTTAGCACAAGAGATGAATACTTATTCATTTACAAGTTTCAGAAAAATGCTATGTTTACATTAATAGAGGAGAAAATTCAATCTTTCCAACTTCTGCCATCTGTGCCAAAGTAAAATCACTAGTAAAGATTTCTGTTATTGATATTAATTTTCAATTCGTTTTTTATAGCACATAAATAGATTAAAGAAAAAAATGGATTCAATAAAGAACGCACAAGAAGACAAAATAGAAAATCTCGGTTTGATTGATCTAGCTCATGGACGGTACTGGAAAGTACGAGTAACCGTCCACTCCCCTTAGCAACGGCTTCAGCAAAATTCAGCAGTTAGACAGATAATGTTGAAATTTTGAATTTAGAAACATCCGCAGATAAATATACATAAGAATATTTCATTTTTAATATTTCAGAATGTTGACAAATGAAGCTGCACGGGGGTGGAACCCCATATGTATCTAAAAAATGAGCATCGTTAAAAATTACATGTGAATTTCCGCTGCACCAGAAGTGATGCATAACACCAGATGTGACTGTAAACATAGGTCAATCGCAGGGTAAGTTTTCATCTTTTTAAACATTTATTTAAAGTTCAATCCTTTTTTAAGAAAATCGAAATGTGATTTTACACTCCTGACTCTCCTCTATATTACTCTTTTTTGTTTTGGATTTCTATGCAGTATTCATCGAGATATTCTTTCCGTCATGGGTTCTGGTGTGTCCAAAACATGCAAGGTGAATGAAGAAAATGTCACTAAACGGACTAAAAAAACAGAGATTTTACGAAATCTCACTACAGACCGATGCTTAACATTCGACAAATCCTGATTTAAACATTTATTGAGATTTGGCTACAAATGAATAGAATCGCTGCTCAAAATTGCATCTAAGGTTTCGTAGCTTTGGCTGAAATTGTGGTCTACTCGTAATTCTTAATGTTTACATATCAATTTTGTTAATAAATTACCTACAATTCTTTTTCTGATAGAATCGCAGTTTTAACCGTAACATTAGATGTTTATTGTAAAACCAATTAGACTGACACGATAGACAGACGTGATAATTTGTTCGGAAAAGGGATCATAAACTTATTCAGTGAATCGAAAAAATGCAATGTGTCTAACACAGTTTTAAAAAAAGTCTATAGAAAATTTCTAAAAATAGAAAATTAGTGCTAGTCTTACGCAATACAAACTTGCAATGTTATATATATGTGCATAATTGCTCTATTGATTATCGCTGTTACATAATATTTCATGATTCTGTAGAATTACATGTATTTAGTAAATATTGGCTGAAAGACCAATAAGTGATTAATTATTTTGTATGGAAGTGAAAATACTAGTACCACTTTATTTTACATTTTGCTACTTTTTCGACAAAGTGTTTCTTATTTAGTGGTACTTTCTTCGGGTGATAAACATACAACGCTCTATTGTATCATAGATTTGGTCATTTCTGTTGAAAATGTGTCAGAGTTAAATTGTATACATATTCATGGACAGTGCGTTTACTTGAATGCAGGTATAAGTTACCCGCACTCCAGAGCATGCCCATTGATTGGCTCATTTATTTCTGGGGTTAACATATTGTGACGACAGAAAAAGGGATAGCCACAAACATGTCACATTCAGATGCTCGTTCATGGTTACTTTTTATCTAGGGTTTCATATTGTGACAACAGAGAACGCGTTGTTTTTTATGCCTACGCCCAATAATACAAATCAGATAGTTTCGTGTTTGATGGTTTTTATATCACTAAAACCATTATTTAAACATTAGAAAACACATGTTGTGAAGAAGGAACATGTAACTTCTTAGAATTTAGGTGACCTCAAATCACACCAATAAATATGGCAATTTGCCGACCTGTTAAGACTAGAAAAGGTCCTAGTTTTGCTTACCGATCGATTGTGATTTAATGGTTTTTTCATGGAATGGCACTGAAGTGTCACATTGAAGGTTCCATGATAACCGCCGTATGAACACATCTGCGGATGTTTCTAAATTCAAAATTTTACTACTTCATGTTTAAATGTTGAATTCTGCTTAAGCCGTTGCTAGGGGGCATGGACGGTAATTTGCACTTTCCAGTACCGTCCATGAACAGGCTCAATCAAACCGAGCCTGCAACATTTTCAATTATGTCGTGTACGGCTTTCTTTAGGGATTCTGTATTTATCTATTTTGTGGTCACATCCGAGTTATTTGTGCCGTGTGGGCGGCTGTAAAAGGTCTCCCCGTACATTTAATCAATGATGTTATATTTTCGATCCTTGAAGATCGTTCAGCACGACGTTATTGTTGTGCTTGTGGTCTTTTAGTTTCATCTTTTCGGCATTTTCTAGTTGGGTGGTTCCAATATTCCTACTTGAATAATGTTGAATCACCCTTAGTATATGTTGCCTGCTTTTTAAATCTGTCTTCTGACGTCTTATCTGTGATATGCAGGCTTCATAACCTCTGATCCCCTTTCAAAATTCCATTTTAATTAGTTCCACCCATTGTTTTCTCGTTTAGGGCACACGCTTTTTATTACTTGGGGACCATACGCCGCTTTTCATGGAATGGCACGGAAGTGTCACATTGAAGGTACCATGATAACCGCCGTATGAACACATCTGAGGATGTTTCTAAATTCAAAATTTTAGTACTTCATGTTTAAATGTTGAATTCTGCTTAAACCGGTGCTAGGGTGCGTGAACGGTAATTTGCACTTTCCAGTACCGTCCATGAACAGGCTCAATCAAACCGAGCCTGCAACATTTTCAGTTATGTCGTGTTGGGCTTTCTTAAGGGATTCTGTATTTATCTATTTTGGGTTCTTTTTTCATTTGTAGAAACTGGTAATATCTTTTATGCAGGTCTTTACAAATAATGTGCATGCAAATGTTCAGATCATTTGCTTACTCCGTTTTTATTCTCCAGCATAATGCATTTTACTATAATAATGAAACGGGATTTCACGTTTTAAATGTAAAGGGCTAAGAATCGCAATTGATATTAAGTATAGATTTTGTTCTGGCATATTTCTTTATCATTTAATTAATATTTTCATTGTTACGTGCCCAAGTTGATTTATGTTAAACTCTCAAATTTCGACTTTTTTAGTTTTTAGGTCTCAGCGGACCTTTGGATCTAAGCATTGTTGTTTAGTTGATTGTTGTCCTCTCAAAGTGTAAATAGACCTGTTACATGTTATTATTACGTACTGAATATTGTCAGTACAATTCTCGCAGAAAAAATGAAATAGTTTATATGTAAAATTTTGTTTGTTTAATGGTATCTATGTAACAAAAAGGCACTAGTCGGTGTGCGGATTAAAATTATTAATATTTATAAGATCTAGTTTAAGTAGAAATAAATTACTATATTTAAATTGTTATTATTTAAACTGTTACTTTTCTCTGGTTCATATTTTAATACGTATATTCTAACTTTTAAAACTTTTATTAATTGAAATTCGTAGACTACGCTCTTTGAATACGCCCGTTTGCTCAACATTGAACATAATGAACCTTTTTTCGTCAGGAGAAAGTTTAATTTAATTTTCTTTTCGCCATTGCTAGATATTAGAAGCCTTCAACAATTCTTCATGAAACACATTGATCGATTTTTGAAAGAAATATAACTGAAAGATAATATATAACTTGAAGACAAGAACATAAACAATATTTACAATTAGCCGTTTAAATCATTACACCGTTCTATCTCGGAAATGTCGTTCACTCGTTTTTCCATACACCGCAATTTAAAAGTGGGACATAAGTTAACGTGGCGTGGTTGATCCCATTTTCGATTGGAATATGATTATTGCATCAATCTTCATGTTCGTCCCTGGTTCTAGTATTATGAATACGTATTTTTGTGAAATCCTTAGGCTGATTTGAGCTAAAACCTTTAAACGCTTTTCATTTTGGTCGTTTTTCACAAACAAAAGACTAAAGGGAACAAAGATAAACAAACAAACAAAAGGAAAAAAAGGAAAAACGGAAACGGCAAGTTCTATCTGCGGTTAACAATAATGACATTATCTTGCTTTTTCCGAATAATATCTATACAAATACGTAGGTAACCCATGGATACAGAAATATATATTATTTTGCTTGAACAAATACTTGAAATAATATAACTTTTATACAATTCCTTTATAAGTTTATCTGACGCTTTATGCTGTCTCATATTAAAGTGTTTAAATAGAGATTACCATGCTAGTGTCTGATGTTACAAGAATTACCAGGCAAGGTTAAATAAAAAAGGGCCAGGCGGCTCTGCCGAACCCTTCACCGAGCCTGATTAATGTAATGACACGATAAAGCTATATCTGCTGCAGACTTAATGTAAAAGAATACCTATGAAATGAACATGGTAGTAAATTGCGTTAAAAGCAAATGGCGCATGCAATACGTACAATATTCATGCGTATTAAATAACAGAGACGGTCTATGTTACAAGTCTTTCGAGAATCGACCATATTATAATGAAACCAATAAAAGTTTACTGTTGATAATTTTATGAAATTATTCATACAATATAGCTTTATACCATTTAATATAAAAAATCAGGCACCAGTTAAAAAGCTGGAATATCGCAATATGTCCATTACCGTGTCTGTTTGTGTTAAAACCAAAGATTATACAGAAGCAAAAAAAGGAAAGAAGAAAGAAAGATAGAAAGAAAGAAGAGAAAGACAAACATCAGCTCCAGTATTATTAACGCGTCTGTTGCCTTTAAGGAGGATATAATGCCAACGGTCAATAGATATCGCATTGAGGTAACATAGTATAAAAGGTGATGTTTATGGTCTGAGTGTCATACTATTGGCTGACATTGTGATGTGATGGAACAATCTAAGTTAAACATTATATATACATCTGTATTGTATATTATCGAGTAATTCACTTACTTGCTAGTACAGTCACAGGGTTGTCTCATTCATTAATATACAGGAATATACAATTATTTGTTATAGAGGCATCAGTATTGAAAACAAAATGTATGCACCACTTCGTAATGTAAACAGCGGGAATTTTTCTCTTGAGGAATTGAATAATTTGGAAGTAAAGGAGTTGATACCAGCAATTATGTACATAATTGTATTGATGATTTGCGGAGTTATAGGAAACTCGCTGGTTCTTTACATCTATTATTTCAGGTTTGCATTTTTGTCTTATATCTGATCCATCATATTTCGTGCTTGTCTTTTACACGTTTAACTATCTAATTATCTTTTCCTTTTTAAATAATGTTTTTTTTCCAGGAGATGCTTTGGTAGTTTAGCACGGAGGAAGGTAGTCTAGTACTGGTGTAACTCTCCAGGAACGATGGTTAGGAAACTACCCGCCTATATGACTGAAATACTGTTTGGAAAAGGCGTGAAATGAAACAAACAAACAAACAAACAAACAAACAAACAAAATAATGTTTTTATTTCATCATTTGCAAAAAAAAAAAAAAAAAAAAAAAAAAAAAAAAAAAACAGTTTACGAATACATTAACGAATACATTTTTTCATGGAAGTGCCAATTCATTTTTTAGTTCTTAACATATAAAGACAATAACTTGATATGTTGATTTGCAAAAATATGTACAAATAGGACTAGTATGTTGATTGTTACATTTTTCTCTCAAAATTTTCACTTCTTTGCTCTTAAATAATAATAATAATAATAATAATAATAATAATAATAATAATAATAATGACAACGACTACAACAACAACAACAACAATAGTATACTGATAATAATAATTTAACATATTTAACAGATTTATAAATATATTAATTAGGTAAAAAAGAAGAAACGACAAAAAGAAAATAACTTGCCATTCACTCTTCCATAAGAAACTAAACGTTTATGGCAAATAATGAATTTATTATATTTTTTTCTTAACTTTCACCAAGATTATGTTTATTGCCAACAAAAAGATATTTGTTAAAATCACTGCAACCATTTTCACTGAATCACTGAATATACATTGCCTTTTGACATCACATTCTGAAAAAATACTGTAATTCTATGTTTAAGAAATATCATTATTTTTCAAACAAGAAGATACGGAACTGCTTTGACTGTTTTTAACATAAACATGAACAAAAACTCAATTTAATTCTGTTTGTATTAATTTTTTAATATATATATGATGCAATATTGAAATCGTTCCCTATTTCTATACAAATGTCAAAGATTTTTTTTTATTTTTCAGGTTTAAACCTAGCAATCATCGATACTTTATACTAACATTGGGAGTATGCGACTTCATAACGTCTGCAGTATGTATGCCGTTTTTAATTGCGGACGCGTTACATCCGTTTATGTTCACAAGCATAATCACGTGCAAAATTTTCCGTTACATCACATACAACACAGCTCTCATCTCAATCTTCACTTTATTTGTGATAGCCGTTGAAAGATACAGGAAAATATGCAAACCGCTGCACAATCAAATAACACTACCATTTGCACGGCGCATTCTTGTTGGAATAGTCTTTCTGACGAGCACTGTATTTGCTCTACCATCTTTCATCTTATATGGTCACACTTCGGTATCTACAGGATATGGCAATACTTCTGGAGTTGCTTGTTTCACCGATGACAAATTTTGCGACACTCGTATTCCAATGGTATATAATTCCATTTTATTTGTAATTGTCTTCATACTTGGAACTGTTATGGTGTTTTGTTACACCAAAATCGCTCATCAGAGGCATATAAGAGCCAAATTTAGCAAGGCACGTAAAAGATATGTATTTATTGAAAGCAGTGGTAATTTTATAAGTGAACAATCGGATAATTGCGTACACACTTCAGCTATAAATGGGTTAAAAGAAGAGTTGCGGGAAACATTTAATGACCGATCAACGCAAACAAACGATTCTGTTTTCTTTGCGTCAAGTTCTTTAAATAAGCAGAGCAACCAATTTAATGAATATTTTCCTGGTGAAAATAATAAATCTTCAGATGGAAATGATCGAACTCACTTTGAAATAAGTGAAACAATTAAATATGAACTTTACCAGCATAGCACGGATTATAGCAGGAAAAAACTAGAAGGAAACGAGAAAATCCATCAATGTTGTGATATTTGCCCTAATTGTGTTAAGGATACACAAAACGAATTCAAGTTTCAAAATGTTGTTTCACATTATGATATAATTGACAACCCTGAAGCTCTAGATAAGGGAAAAACAACAGACGCAACAATGAATTTCCGGGTCTCATCGCTAACTACAGTTAGTTACTGTGACAGTCCATCTCCGGCATTTAATGAAACGGATTATCTAAAGCAAACAAAACGTAGAATGTTTCAATGTAGGAGACACAGCATGCCTGACATTTTAGTGAAACATTATTGTGATTATATCTTTGACGGTAAAGAAAATTCATTATCATGTATTACACTTGATCTAAATATGGTAACGCTTGATCAGAAAAGGCTAGGGCACTCGTCAAAAATAACAATAGAACATATGTCAACATTTACACATGCAGAAAAATCATGCAAAGATGTTGACCTCAATCTATCTGAATTCACACAAAATACTTACAAATCTAAAGTACCTGAAGCCAAAATGAAATGTCAAAATAGAAATGGCGTAAACAAAACCTGCCATTGCTATAAAGATGAACAACTTGGAAATAAAACAAACCAGCGCAATAGAAAAGTTTTTATTAGACGCAATAAAACAAAGTCTGCAAAGTTTGCCAAACTTCGAGATAACACCCTGATAAACGTCACGAAAATGTTATTTTACATCACTCTTGTTTATTTCATCAGTTTTATACCCCATCTGGTGTTGATGATTACATTAATGTTGGATGATCAGTTCCTATCATCGCTAAATCACGTTGAAGTACAAATATTCTATATTGCCCTGCGGTCATTTATCATCAACGCCGTTGCTAATCCGTTCATATACAATTTTATGGACAAACAATTTAAGAAAGAGTGTAGACAACTTTGCAATCGGAAGAAAGTTGCAAAATGAAAATTATTGTTTTATTAGAATTTACAACTTTAGACATGGACGTTGGAAGATTTTAAGGTTGACTGGGAAAAAACAAATATTTTAATGTAATATCGAATTAGATTTATCAATATTTCTTGATATTAATATTACATGATATGTTGAAAATGTGTTTTAAATGCAAATGATGTGAAAAGAAAAAGGAAATACTAACCGCAGAAAACCAAACTGGATATTCATGGCGCAAATGTGCGGACACTTGTGTTGAACAACCAATATTTCGGAGGCCAACTTGATAGATTTCTCACATGAAAGAACCAAACTTAACGAAATGTTATACTTACTTCGTATGTACGTTATGTTATAAATATCCTCAATATTTCTTAGTATTTTGAATGCTGCAAAATATTGGATCAAATATCAGACCTTTTAAAAGGTGATTTTAACTAAAACAAATATTTGGTGTGCTGAAAGCTATTCATTTTAATAGCAGCCGACAATGGTTTTATTTACGGACCACTTTTATGGAATTTTGCTTAGAAGTTTAAATCTGCTTAATTCACGAGAATAACATTTAGTAGAGTACATTGATATTTTGAAGCACTCTATATTCTAAAATTTTGTTTAATTCACTAGGCTTTTACTTCGACCGTACCAAAATAATCTTCGAGTTTATTTGTCATAAAGCTATTAATTTGATCGTTATTAATCACCGAATAAACATTCAATTATGATATTAACTCAACCTTCGATATAACCTCGACAGTATTAAATCAGTGGATAAATTTGTCTGTAAGCTATTACTTTTGTATCGATCACAACCGTGTAAATAAGTCGGTAATATATTACTTTCGTAGTACAAATTTACTTGGTCATTCAGCAATAACTTCCATCTTACTAACAACTTTCACTAAGCTATTACTCCGGTCACTTGGTATAGCCAAGAAGATGTATCGACTGGCAAGATACAAACACTAACAGATTAAAATCGGCATAAGAAAATAAAAATGAAATAAAATAGAATAAAAATTAATAAAAAATAATTCAAACTTTTTTTTCGATCACGCTACCTAACCTTGTACATTTGTCACTAAGCTATTACTTTTATCGTACTCAAGAGGGTAAATATAATCACTGGATAAATAAATCGTTTCTAAACTACAAAAAAACTTGTTTCTTTATTATAACTGTTTTTATTTATCCGAGTTTCCTTTTGTATATTTTATAGCATTATACGAGAAGTTTCTTTATGACTAAAATTGTTTTTTGTTGAAAACCAAGGAGACTTTAACTATAAAAAAATATGATATATTTGTCACGTATGCGCTTTCAGCTTCCCACGCTAGGTATCGTAAATGGACTTGCTCAGCTTTATTTTCGCATTAAACCTTTTATCATATTTATAGCGAACAGTGCCGACCATGATCATGATAGCCAGATATGCCGCTTAATCTTAATCTGCACGGGTCGCATGGCTTCAGTTGTCGTCAGCAGTCTTATGTCTAATGACATATACAACATAATTATTCAACCTTTCCTGATTATCAAGGCAAATCCTAAAATTCGATAATTTGAAAGTAGAGATTGATAAATGAATGTACATAGACATTTCAGTTGCTATGGATTTCAAGAGAAAAAAAAACAACTCTTATATCATAATATGATATATCTGTTTCATATTTACATTGCTGGTATATAGAACTTGTTCTTTTTACATACACGTACTAATCATGGAACAGTTATTTATCACTTGTCATAAGAGTGAGAATGATCTACATTCAATTTACATTTTTTTTGTCCATGATATTCTTATTTTTGTACTGTTTTTTTCTTTTTTTTTTAAATAAAGCTATGCTTCTCAGTTATTGATCAATTGTCATAAGAGTGAAAAAAGGGAAAACTCATTTACATTTTTGTGAAAGATATTCTTGGTAATATACTATTTGTCTTCCAAAGTACGCCACCTTTGCTATTCTAGAAAAATTGCTGAATTGACACTTTTGTAATTGTACCTATTGCAACTCTCTTGTTAACGAATCATTGAACTCGACAATTTTTCTTCTGATAATGTATATTAACTCTTACAAGTTTACTGCTGAGGAGGAAATCTATTAAATTTCAATTACAGATCAGGGAAACAATTGTATGTAATATGTCAGTAGAAATTTGCTTGAGATGACGCTTAGAATATATACCGGTTATAGAATTAAAGTGAATTGGTCTGTAATAGAAGGTTTGTAATACAATAAATAATTTCATTGATAGTATTAACAAACCACGAAATAATTATACATGGACGTTGTTGGCAAGTGTGAGATACGTGTTATGATATTACATATATTTATATAGCAGATAATAAATTGTTCCAGAACAAAATATCATTACTCATCATTAAATGTTCATGCTAGAACTTTATCACAATTTGTTCTTTGAAGTAATATTTTATAAGAATATCCAAATGATACATTTCTATAGGTTTTATCAATATATGAAAAAATGTGCCCATTGTAGACCAATTCATTTTAATCCCGTAAAGCTACAACTTATGTCTCATATAATATTAAATAACAAGACCAACAAAAAGAAAGAAAACGAATGAACAAACAAAAAAGCGAACAATGTCATTTTTACGGCAAGGAACTAAGACATGGTTAAATGTATAATGTAGTGCATCACATCATTGGCAAAACTGCCTATTCTAGTCCTTATATAAGTAAACTGTTTGTGGAATATTACATTGGCGCAGCATGGGAACCCATCGCAAACACCAAAATTGGTAATTTAAGCCAAAAACCTATTCTTGAAATTGGTGCTACAGGCATATTTTGGACACACATTTATCTATAACATCATCTTTTATAAGAAGCAAATCTGTAACTGATAAGGGGAATCCGTGGCTGAGTCATGAGGGTCGATGACTTGAAACCATTTGCCTTAAACCCCTGTTGGTATGAGCCGCGCCAGAGTCTTCGGATTCTTTAACGTGAGAAATGTATCCAGCTAGCTTACGGAACGTCGGTGGTTCTACTCAGGTGTCTGTCTGTGCCTGAATAAATCTACAGAGGTATAGCTGAGGTATTTCTTGCCCTGTTAAGCCGAAATGTCGCCATATGACCTATATTTTGTTGGTGCGACGTAAAAGCTAACCAAAATAAATCTAGTACTGACATAATTTGTTGTTAAGTTTACAATATGATTTTCATTATCTTGCAAATAATACAATAACAATAAACAACAATATTGTGTGAACTCTTTACAAATAATATTTGAAGTAGAATAAACAATCATTCCACCATGTTTATACAAGTAATGATACAAGAATACTCTTAATAATTTACCGTATTTCGACAAGTTTGTAACGAGTTAAGGCTACTTATTCTCTGCTCCGGTATATTTTGGTAACATCTTCGGATGTTTCTAAATTCAAAATTCTTAACTCTAAATCTAAATGTCTAATACTGCTAAAGTCGGTGTTAGGGGGCTTGCACGGTAACATGTATTTTCCAGGACCGTTCATGAACCAGTTCAATAAAACCCGAGTGGAACATTTTCAGTTTTCGAAACATAAACATTTTTTTGTACATGTATTTACATAATTTTTGTCGGTGTTTCGCAATCTATTTGTCCATATTTTTCGTAAGTACATGCTATTTACTTCATTGTCACATCTGGTAAATGTACATCTGCTTCACATATAATATTTCGGTAAAGATTGCGCATGCGTTGTTTTTAATGCCCTCGTGAGGTATAATCAGTTTACGAAACCTGAACATAATGGACATAATGAAATATTCATCTTATTCCATAAAATATACCCGCACATAATTTTATATTAGCTATTGATTTTGTAAACGTTCCGAATAACAAAATCTTGTGTTCCTGAAAAATATTTCATAACGAAACTGATTTTATACTTCTGACGGTTGTTATATGATTTGATACCGTCATAAAAGTGTGAACAGCGTTAATTTAATATTGGCTGTAATTTATTTTACAAAGAAAGCTGAAGTAATAAGAAATATTTTGTTCAAGATAAGATGTAATATATTTATCCTGTAAGCGCCAATTCTTTAACGAAAGAATGTTTTTCTAATTACGGGCCTCCTTCAAAGTGCTGTTCAAAATATAGAAACAAAGGAAATACATAATGAGGATACACATGTATGTTTTCAAAACCAAACATCATATATATTTAAATATATTACCACCAATAGTTAACTAGAATGTTTTTGTCCTGTAGATGGTCGTCTAATATGACAAATATTTCGTTGAATTCAGATCGGTCAGGAAAATGGAAAGTGTACAAAAAATGAAAATTGTGAACCAAACTTTATAACAAAAAAATTAATATTTCTATCTTGTTTTCTTAATCACATTAAAAGATGTTGGTAGATGGTCGGAATCTAGTATAGTGACCATATGATGTCACTGTGCGACTGTAATGGTGCGTTTATATAACTATAATTAAAAACCCAGTATGCCCCAGAAATTCTTTAATTTTTATTTGATCAAAATCTCTTTATTTTTAGTATCCAACAAGTTACTTATTGGCCAATTACATGAACTGTCTCTTTATTATGTTGCTATTTTATTCAGGTAAGCATCTTACATGCTCTAAAGTCATTATTTAAACATAAACATATGTTTGACATCTCTAAAGATGTTATCCTTTATTCATGACTGAGGTGTGCCTTTTATATGTCCGTAATTGACTTTACATCCTGCAAAGATATGACCAAATAGGGCACTAAGCACTAACCATTTTCCTCCTCTTATTAGTATATGATTTACCGAATATGCACGTGCATATTTAGAACAGATTGATTTGGAGGGAGCATGTTATGCATTAACTATTTGTTAATGTTTACAGTCTGTTGAATTATTTAACCCTTGCACCTTTTATGTATGATTAAAATTGTATACATATACATGTATCAAGTATTTATGTAAACGGTAACATATATAAAATAGTTTTAATAACTCAGTCATATATATCTTTACACAATCGAACGAATTTGTGT